TGTGTTATTGAACTGTTTTACCTGCTTCCGCTTTTATCTAATATCTATTCTCTTGTGAGCATGATTATTTTGTTTTTGGAGATTTTACTGAACTTGGAATTTTATTATGTTATGACTATTGAATTATTTTATATGGCTGAATATCTGTTAGAGCATGATTGATTGTAGACTTGAGACGAGTTCTGATCTAGATGGTTGTTTCCCCATTTAGTTAAGTGTGATCTTAACTGTGGTTATGTGAATTTTCGAGTAGCGCTCGTTATATAAATCTTTAAATTGACTTTTGAAAAATTAACTCTGATATTGACTTTGAAAAAATTAAATTGGTATTTTTCACTTAAAAATAACGGGGCGTTACAGAATGGTATCAGAGCAAGTTTACGTTTTTGTAGACTGCTTCTGAAGTTGTTTATGTATTTATGTTATGACCCCTCGCTTCGTCCAGCCACGCCAGCTCAAGGTATGAGTGTTGTTTATTTTATTTAAATATTGATTTGGGGCTTAGGAATTTATCCACCTTTCATTTGATTAATTTGAACTTTAGTGGTTGAGTTTGTGCTAAGTTCCAACTTGTCTTATAGATATGGGTCCTCGTAGAGATCCACATGCTCAGCAGGCTCCACCCACTCAGGGTGAAGATCTTGGCCGCACGATTGAACGGTTTCAGGACATGCGTCCCCAACCTTTTCGGGAGTGGAGGGTCCAGCAGCTTTAACGGAGTGGCTACGTAAGCTAGAAAGGATCTTCACCGTTCTCCGATGCTCGGATGCCCAGCGCATTGAGTGTGCCGAATACCAGATGGAGAGTGATGCCGCTGATTGGTGGACTGACTATTGGGTTTTGAGGCCAGAAGCTGAGCAGACTGCCCTCACTTGGGTAAGGATGAAGGAGATTGTCACGGACAAGTACTTTCCCAAGAGCTATCGTGACCAGAAGGAGCGAGAGTTTTATGATCTTAAGCAGGATGCCTCTACAGTCGATGAGTATTCCCAGGCCTTCACCCGTTTGAGTGCCTTTGCTCGGCACATGGTTGACACCGAAGAGAGAAAGGCTCGTAAGTTCCGAGACGGGCTTCGCCAGGATATCCGTGTTTTGGTGGCGAGTCATGGGGATCTCCCTTTCGCAGACACCGTCATCCGTGCTCAACAGATTGAGAGTTGTATGACCCCGGTTGTCCCCGTCCCTTCCTACTACCATTCCCAGCCTCCTCAGACTGCT